TTAGTTGGGCTTTTAACAAACCATAGAACTAGAATAAAAACTAAAAAAAAAACTATGGGAAAGAATAATAATCATCATCTCTCAATAGATGAGAATCTTTATTTATACTAAAAAAAAATCTTAGGTATAGGTGGAAGATAAAAGGTTGTATTGGGAAGAATTCCTTTCCAAAAAAGAAGTCTTTTGAGGTTAAATCCAGTGTATAAAATCTTGGGGGTGCGGGTACAAAATCTTTCCAGAATTCGAGCTTGAATTTCGCATATTTAGAGGTCAATTCACTAATTGTTTGTGAAATACACTTTTGTAGCCCTTGAAGTTTTCTTTCCAACCCCACAAAAATTAGGTCAAGCAAACACCGGAGTCAAAAGTTATGAGCAAAATAATGAAGAGATATCAAATCCTTATCTTCTAGGATACTTTCCTAATCCAACTTTAAATAAGTTCGTCTAATTTGAACTCTTATAAGGATTAAATTATTGTCTTAGCTTCAAATTTTTCTGTCTTAATCTTGACTCTTCAATCCTTATCAATTGTAATTCTTCCTCTAGTGATTGTTTCATTTGTCTTATCAATTATTACTTTAAATCAACTAATTTACCTGCAAAATAAATCAAACAATTAGAAAAAATATCAAACTAGAAAGTCAAGGAATCTAACACATTTAATCACAATAATATGCAATTAACTGATGGTTAATCAACCCTCTTTTTGAAAGCTTTAATTTCTTCGAGGGGGGAGATCTTCACTAAGAACAGACTTAGCCTTCAAAAGCCATCACAACCTTCTTATCTAGGGGTTGACCATAGATTCTGAGAAAAATAACCCCAATCAATAAGAGAAAAAAAAAAAGAGAGAGAGATAGAAGACTAGAAAAGTACTCCAAAAAAAAAAAGCTTCCTCTTCTCCTTAGCAATTAGAACTTTGAAGTTGTGGCAAGAGAAATTTGCAGCAAGATCTACCCGCTTCAAAAGCTCATCGCAAGTGAAAAGGGAATAAAATGTGAGCCCAAATGATGGCTAATGAAATTGTAAATGAAAACACCCTAAAAGAGGGTACTCCCCAGAAGGGACTGAAATGCCCCAAACTTTGGGCACCGAAGCATGATCTCTAGATTGTCCCTCCTCTAGGTCGAACTCACTTTCCGTAATAGATAGAAGAACCAAGGCTTCTAGTTCTTATTCAAGTCAAGGAGCCCTGACACAAGCTTAGGGATCTTTTGCAAAGTGCTAAGATAGAAATAACCCTTCTGGGTGCACTCCTTCACTTTATAGCAATAAACAAATTTCTTTGAAATAATGGAATAATGTCCCCCATTACTAAGCCTCCATAGTGCCATCAAACTGGTAAGGGTCTTCCGAGCATTAGGAACCAATTGACAAGGAGACAAACCCAACCAAGAAATTACAAACCTAACAAAGGGTGGAGTGGGAAACTAGAGTCCGACTTACAAAGCAAACTCTAGGAAACACACTCCTCCATAGGAAGGAGAGCAAGCCCACTCATGTGCAGAGGGCAGTCGTAGCCAAACAAAATTTGGAAGACCATACTGTGACTTCAAAGACCCTATACTACTTTATGTATAATGACACTCTATTTCGTGAGCCTCCCAAAGGTGGACCTATCAACAAAGGGAGAGAGGGAGTGTTCAAAGCCCTCATCCCTTAAACCTGCAAACTCATTTCGTTCTGAGTCTGCATCTAGGTCAGACAAACCCAAATGGACATCCCTCCTAACTTCACTTGACATTGGCATAGAAACAAAAGGATAAACAAGACCCTGATGCTTAGAGATTGCCTTTGTAATTTCCTTAGAAGAACCTTCTAAACGCTGTTTCCTAAAACTAGGGGTCTCAAGAAAGAACTTAACAGGGGAATTAAGAGGGTTGTAAGGGCTGACAACGTTGTCCGACTCACTATAGCTATAGATTGTAATGAGATCGATGTTCATAAAGTGGGGAACCGAAAAAAAAGAGAAAAATCCCTTCACTCAAATTCTAAAAACACGAACACAAATAAATCAAAAATGGAAGAAGTTGAGGAAGAAAACGAGGATGGTACATATAACATAACCAACGAACTACATTCATTTAATCCAAAGACAGGGAGCCTAAACTTCTGAAGAATATTAGGGTTCATGACATTAGGCAGCAGTTGAAAGCCAACGTACGTAACATGAAAAGACAGCACCATAAATTCGCTTCCCTTGAAATTCGAAGAGGCGCCAAAACAACTATTCAAAACCCAAGAAAAGTAGAAGGGTCAAAATCACATTGCCGCCAAAGGCGATCACCGAAGCCAAAACATGACCAGGCAAATTACTCATGACCCACCTCTTCAAGGGGTCACAAGGAATAAGGGGGCAACTAATGGATATAGTCTAGACCTTAGAGTTCGGATATCGCTTCCCAGTCTTCGAAAGTCGCCAATCACATTTAACATGCTGACATGTCAGCGTGCACATGCACGCATAGGCATCAGAAGAAACATGACACTTGGCACGTTATACTCGACATTACCCATGGATTTCTGAATTAACCATTAACAAACACCAAGAATTGGGGCACATGCATAGATTAGCTTAAGGCACATTCAACAGTACATGGTTAACCCTAATGATGACCCCTTAAACCAAAATCTCACTCAACCTCATCTATAAAAGTCCTCATTAATGAAGGGCAAAGGTAAGTAATTCTTCCAAGAGGAATTAACAGGTGCCCAGAAAAAATTCAATCATTTCTTTATTACTTTTCACTTATACTTATTTACTGACATAAGCATCGGAGGTGGTTCAGCTGAGACCACACTAATTTCTTACTCCTAAACTTTCATTGACAGGTCTTAAGATCTCAATAGCCGGAACAAATAATGACCTCTAACAACAGGTCACAAAACAACGACCTCTTCATAGGAGTCCATAATAGATTTACTGATTGATCCATCAATAATCTTAGCTTAATAAATTTATAAACCATGACACTATATTGAAAAGCACACTTTTCAAGTCTAAGCTCTTTAGAGAACCAATAAAAAAAAAAGAACCAAAAAGATCACAACTTCATAACCTTGTTCCTTAGCCCCTTCCCATAGTATTTGGTTCAAAAAGACTAATGTTATTTGAACCTATGTTCCTGGCATAATTCTCTTGAAAAGCGATACCCAATTTTACCCCTAGAAAAAGTAAAAGACATAGGTTTTCCATTCTAGAACAAAGTGAACAAACACATATCTAGCAAACTCAAGCCTTCTATGTTCATCACTAGGGGGACCTGCGCTTAAAGGCATGGTGCAATATAAACCTAATAAAATCATGAAGTAAGTGAGAAGTGATGGATTTGGAGAAGAGGGGATTTTTTTTTGGGGGAGGGGAAGAAATTCGATGTGAATGATTTTGATAGAAATGTTGGTAGTCATTGAATGAGTTTATTTAAGACCATCATATGGGCTAATTGAAGTCTGTCTTATTTTATATTATAGATTTGCCCCCAACAAAAGTCTCAAATTGACCTGTAATCATCACTACAATTACATCCACTTTTCCACCTCTATTATTACTAGGATTTGACTACAGTATCAAAGAAATAATTTTGGTAAAGTACGTCAACTTTCATTATTTTAATGGGTTTTTTTATAATTTTTGTTGTTCATTTTACAACCAAAAAATTTATCATTTTTGTACGTGATTTATCATTTTTATGAATGTTTTTACCATTGTTGAGTATTTTTACAACTTTTGTAATAACTATTTTTATTATTTTTCTTTGGTAAAAAAAATTATCACATTTTTGTGTATTTTTAATACATTTAGAGGTATTTTTACCATTGTTGTGGTAACTATTTTTATTATTTTTTGGGTACCACGACAATGATAAAAGGACTCAGCAATGTGATAAAAATAACCACAAATATAATAAATGAAGGTATGGTGCCAAAAAAAATAAAATCAATACCGTAGTGAAATCCTTATCTGCTTAGTCACGAGAAGGCTTCCAACAGAAGGGAGAAGAGATTCGTGAATGCCCTGACCATCCTACATGAGTCAGTCTAATTTTTTGGGAATGATTAAATAAATTTGAAGGGGGCAGAGAGAGTCTGTGGAGATGGCTCAGTGGTAGAGGAATCGTAATGTATTCAATCTATCTGCAAGGACATGGGGGTAGGAATGCATTTTGTTGGGTTTCTAAATTTCTTCTTGGGGCATTTTGGTACTTTACTCAATTTCGTTAGCTCCATTATCCAATTATCAAGATGAGGGTTTGAGTATAGGATGTCAAACGTGAAATCTATGTTATTATGTGACAAATTTCAAGAGATCTAGCTATAATTTATCATACATTAAATAATTAACATTATAATTAATTAATGAGTTATAAGTTGTCTATTGTACAAAAATCTTAACTCCACCCTATAAAAACTACAATAGAAACTATAAATATTAAATGTTAGTAATGCAAAGCATATCTCAAACATAACACAGTGTTGAATGATAGTAGTAAATACATCAAATCTCTTCACACCACAAGCGAGTTTCAAACCTATTTATCAAACTCATGTAATTTTTACAAAACATCATTCACAGTGACACTTTCGATATTGTACAATCTAAAAAACATCCAAAACTTGGGTATTGAAATTCACATTAAAATTCGGTTATTAAACGTTATGTTAATCTAACTAAGCTCGTTCCAAAGAGAAATAATGAACAATCAATGGTGGTCCCACTAGTAAAGACCTATCATTATGGTCCCTAAACATTCTCTTTTGTCCCCACCTTTTTTTCTCAATAGCATAAAAAAAGTAACATTTTTTAAAAGTTTTAGGTTTGTAAAATACAAAAGAAACGCATGGGTTTGGAAAATAAGATAGATTTTTTACGAGCATGGGTTTAGTGAAAACTCCACCAAAAGCGTATTCTACTTCTAGCCTAGAAAAGCCACATACAGCAGCTGCAGCAACGGCATATACCAGCTCCAACAGGCAACATCAAATAATGTATTATTTCATTCATTCACAACCAGATTGGTTCAGGAAACATTGCAGAACTACATTTTACAAGCAGGTATCTTCCCTCACCTATAAGGACACCCACAATCATTTTCCTTTAGCCAGTGTAGAACAATTCATAATATACGAGCTAAGTAAAGAATCAAGAAATCTAAGACATTATGTAAAGTTCTCAGAGAAATCTATCTTTAGAATTTAAACATAAGTAGCTAAGTCCACAATGGTTTCAAATCTCCAACATTACAAGCTAAACAAACCAAAACAGAAAAATCACTACTGCCAGTCAGATTACGGGTCAGCTTCCTGCCTGCTCAAGTACCTGCAGACAAGATGGCAAAGCAAATTGTTACACAACCTTGAAGATAAATGGAAATATAAAATTCCAATGATCTTAACAATTGAAAAGGCATTCAAATTTTCTCCTGTGTCATAGCATCAACAAATGTTCAGTAAGGCAATTTTTTTTTAATAAAAGATTTATTTTCTCCTCCTCTTCCTTCTGATTCTTTAGGAGTGATTTTCCCAGCAACCAAAGCTATCAAAGGACATCAAATTGTACTTTAAAATGATTGTATCTGCAGTAATGCATACTTCATGAACCTCACAATAGGTCAATGTCAATATGTCAGAGAAGGCCTATTGGGTTACCAAGAAAGACAAACTAGGAGAAGCCAATTTTTTATGGCTTAAAATGAGTCAGCTGTATGAGGAATTATGCCTAAACTTGGAGGTTCGATATTGTGTCCAAGTTAAAAAGTGTGTATAGTGCTGGTTAAGCAGTTCTCACAACCAAGACATCCACGGATTTTAAGTCATCTACCCTTCAAGAAGGATAAAACATCCTCTATAACCAATCTCTGCATCTCAATAAAGTTACGTCATATTGTGTCCAAAACTGAGTGGCTGATGATGCAGGACAGAAAAAACATATACGAGCACACGTGGTCAACAGTAGAAATAAGCATTTACAAGTCACGTACGTAGACACAAGCAGTAACATGGTAGACTGCATATCAAAATAGTACCACAGTAAAATAATTGCATCATGTAAAGAAAATAGCTCCTATAGGGAAACTTTCAAGTTTAGCTTTCTATTGTTATCAGATTAGAAATGAAGACCACGAAAAGAAAGAAGACGCTGAAGAAGAAGAAGAAGAAGAAGATGAAGAGGAGGACGATGAGGTAAAAACAATGCACAAGCCAAAAAAAAAAAGGAAACCCTTCTTCCATTAAAATTTGTGTAATTCAAGAATTGAGTTATCTTATTAAAAATGCACAGCTCCCAGGAAAATGATTTAATACCGTTAGTTTGTCTTACGTGAATGACTCCTAATGTCACACTAAGAAATAACTAAGAGTAGCACTTATGGAAGAAACACCTGCAATATAAATAGTCTCCCAAAAAAAAAGTAAAACAGAAAACAGGTTTCCAGTCAGAATGGCTGCAGGATTTGTGAAGTCAAAACCACAAGTTGGGAAAAGACAGCATCAACAAGCTCCAGAAAATTAGATTTTGAAACCGTGAGTCACTGAGTACAAAAATAACACTAAATCAATCATTGCCAGTTAGCTATACTCTTTTCATACATGGAGAACTGTTTTACCAAACTGTTTGAAACAAATTAGAGATGATATGACAAATAACATTTCACCGCTGGTATCTGCTAGTCTAATCATGATGAAAGACAAGGCATAGTCAAATCAGAAACATTATATACCTGTACAGCTTCTAATCTGAGAATATAGATGCAGCAACTAGTTCATAAGGAACATGCTTCAACAGCTGAGGCTCTTGGACACTGAACATCAAGCCTGTCAAACAGTTTTGCATAAGGGTAAGTCAAAGTAAGATTTAGAGGGTTGTTCACACCTTCTTTGTACACCTTACTGCCTCCGTCTTCTGTGTAAGCAACATCATCGAAACCGCTTTCAATAGGCTCGTTCGTATGGATAACCTTACCAAACAACTGGAATGAACTAATACCTACTTTTCTTGAAGAGTTGCAGCCCCTTTTTCCAATTGCCTCTCCACTGGAGAAATGTATACTACTCTGACTATCAGGTGATAAGTTGTCTGACTGTGAACTGCAAATGTTCAGCTCAGTAGAGACAGTTTTCAACTTTGGGGTCACGTTGTAAACAAGATTATCAGTGCAAAGTTGATGGGTATTTTCACTTATGTAATTGGATAAACCAAACACACAAATTTGATCTTGCCTGGCTCCCTGCATGCCAGCAGGAAAAGAATAATTCCTCAGCGATGGATTCAAGTGCCCCAGCATTGAGTTACTTAACCCTGTTATCGGAAAGAAGAGCTCTCCATCTCCATCAGATAGCAATGCAGTATCCTGAGGGACTCTCAATTTCTTTGCAGGGGGAAGTGCTGAATACAGTGGCGGTGTGGCCACAACATACTCAACTTGCCAGGGGCTCACTCTCTTCACATTCTGCAGAACTTCAGGCTCATCCCATGAAACCTGAGACAAAGAATTGAGAGTGCTAAGAGTATTAGAGCATTATTATATGTAAATACTAGGTTGAAATAAGTACACCATAGAGGGTATACTCGTCCTTTCTGTTAGTACAAGATAACTATTAATACATGTTTGTGAGAGGTAGGTTAGGTTTTTGACCACTCCCTGTTTCTCTTATGTTGTATTATGTCAACTATCTAAACGTAACATGCTATCAGAACAATTAGATCTAAACTTACTCTGCAATTAATCCAATTAATCTTTCTTTTTGAGCAATTAATCTAATTAAATCATCAATTCTTTTTGTCTTCTTCCTCTCTCTCTTTCTTGTTCCGCCACTGGTGAACTATGGCCATGGCATAGGGTCGTTGTCTGACCAGTAGTCGTGGCTAGTGTTTGTGTTAATATCGGTTGTGGTAGGTGATGAAATCCAGCATATGGTGTTCGCCGGTGTGTGGTTTGTCAACGTGTGGTGCTCGCCGGTGTATGGTTTGTCAACGTGTGGTGTTTTTCGTTGTTGCCGAAGGTCAACGTCACAGTGCTGATCGTTGCTGTCCGTTCTGTGGTTGTGTTGGTCGCCGGAGGTCAGCGTCACAGTGGTAGCTTCCCTCAGCACTGAGTAGTGGATGTGGTGTGCGCTGCTTGAGCATCCAGAATAGGGTACCTAACCCTTGCAGCGAAGAAGGCCTCTTCTTCTTTTGGGCCTAACATAAGCCCAAAATCCATTTAAACCAATCAACCAAACCCACTGTCAGCAAAGCCCAATCAGCCCAGCCAGCCTTCAGCCCAAGTGGTTCATTCAAACCGGCCCAGCCTGCATTCAGACCGGTTCAACCTCTTCAGGACCAGTTCGGTTCTGCTCAGACCGGTTCAGGACAGGTTCACCCCAGTTCATCTGATCAGCTGGCGGTCCGGGTCCGGTTCAGCACTCCAGCAGGCTTGCTCTGCCCAGTTCAGCATTCCAGCAGGCGGTTCTTGGTCACGTTCAGCCTTCCAGCAGCCTTGTTCTGTCCGATTCAACACTCCAGCAGCCTTGTTCAGTCCAATTCAGCACTCCAGCAACCTTGTTCAGTCTAGTTCAGCACTCTGTCCCTCATTCTGGTCCAATTCAGCAGACTTTTTTTTCTGATCCAGTCAAGCAGTCCAGCACTTTTTTCTGGCCTGGTTCAGTTGCCTCCTATGTTGCTTCTATGAACGTATTGCCTTTGGGTGTGTGTGTGAGTTATAAGGGCCTATGGCACTTCTGCTTTTAAGTAGAAGTGTTGTAGTGTTCTCTGGTCAAAAAAAAAGGAATGTTTTATTTACTGTGTTTTTTGTTTGGTAATATGGAATCAAAGAGTGATGACCGGTCTGTCATTACTTCACTTGTGCCCACAACCTTTCCTCCTACGGTTCACCTTAGTAGTCTCATGACTTCTGTTAAGCTCAATGGGATCAATTATGTTTTATGGTCTCGTTTAGTCCAAGTATTTCTTAAAGACAAAGGTTTTAAGAAATATTTAGTGGAAATTGTACCCAAGGAAAGTGATCCTACGAATGATCGGTGGGAACAGAAGGATGTTCAGATTATGTCTTTACTTTTGTATAGTATCGAGACGAGTATTAACTCTACCTTGCTTTATATTGACATGGCCAAAGCAATTAGGGATCAATTGGTCATTATGTATTCTGGCACCGGTAATTTCACTCATGCTTATGAGGTGTGCCAACAACATTTTTTGCCTGGACCAGAATACTCTGACTCTCACAGATTATTATTCTCATGTTAAGGGAGTGTGTGAGGAATTGAAACAATATCCCTCGTTCACTACTGATGCAGCAGTTTGGCAGAAACATGAGGATATGAATATTGTTCGTTTTCTGAAAGGTTTGAAATCCAAATATGAGCCTATTCACTCTCAAATTTTGGGTGGCTCTGGTCTACCCTTTCTCCTTGAGGTCTTCTCACGCCTATAGCATACAACCTTATCTATTGGCTCTGCAAGTATTGATCGTGACTTATTCACTGAATGCTCAACTCTTGTTGTTCCTACTGGCCACAATGATAGCTCTCGAGATAATCGTGATGATCATGGAGGTCAAGGAGGCCGGACTAGTGGTCGTCGAGGTCGATCTAGGTATCATTCATGCACTCATTGTGGTTGTGGAGGTCACACTATTGATTATTGTTGAGATTTGCATGGCAAACCATCTGGTGCTACTAATCAGGTTTTCTATCAGGATGACACTTCCTCTCTAGATGCTCTAGGCTCATGGCCAGCTCCACTCGACTCTTGAGTTAGTTACTATCACACGAGAGGAATATGATCAGTTTATGTCTTAGCAACAGCCTACTTCATCTTTCACTGCTACATTTGCCCAAACTGGCATCATTTCCACCTGTTTACTATCCTTCACTCATAGTCGCTAGATCATAGACTCCAACACTTCTAATCACATGATTGGTTCGTCTGGTATCTTTTCTACTTACCATTCTATTCCTTCATCCCATAGTGTTATACTTGCTAATAGTACTTCTTCTAAGGTTACAGGTTTGGGGACTACTCAACTGAGTCTTGATATATCTTTATCCTCTGTTTTATTTGTCTCTCAATTTCCCTTTAGTTTACTTTCCATTAGCAAGATTATCCGCTCTTTCAATTGCTCAGTAACCTTTTATCCTTCTTATTGTGTGTTTCAAGATCTCCAGACGAAGAGGAAGATTGGTACAGAACATAAAGCTGGTGGTCTTTTTTACTTTGACCGTAATCTACCTACTCTGGCACCCAGACCTCATCCTCTTTAGTTCAGTGGTATTGTCGTCTTGGTCATCCCTCCATCCAAAATCTGAAGTGTCAAATTCTAAGTCTTAATTATATATCGTATGTGTCTTGTGAAGCTTATTAACTTAGTAAATATCACCGTGTGTCTTTTTAGTCTAAAGTCAATAATCGTGTATGTAGTCCGTTTGAGTTTGTGCATTCTAATGTATGGGGTCGAATAAAAAATATTTCATCTAATAAATATCCTTATTTTGTATCATTTGTAGATGATTATTCTCATGTGACTTGGTTATTTCTTATGAAAGTTTCTTCTGACTTATTTTCTATATTTGAGACTTTTCGTAAAAAAATCAAAATTCAATATGGTTATCGTATTTGTATTTTATATTCTAATAATGTTCATGAATATGAATCTGGCCCTTTTTTAACATATCTTCGTAAAACTGACATTATTCACCAGACTTCTTGTGCTTAATATTTCAAAAGAATGGTGTCGTTGAGCGCAAGAATCATCGCTTATTGAAAGTTATCTGTGCACTGTTATTTCAGATGAATGATCCTCGTTGTTTCTGGAATGATATTGTGCTCACTGCTTGTCACCTTATTTATCGTATGTCATTTTCTGTGTTAAATGGACAAAGTCTATTTTCTGTCTTTTTTCCTACTAAAACCTTATTTTTCTTAACTCCTAAGATTTTTGGGTGTGTCTGTTATGTTCATAACTTGAGATCTTGGTTTGATAAACTTGACCCTCGTGCTACTAAATATGTCTTTCTTAGATACTCACGCACACAGAAGGAGTATCGTTGCTATAGTCCTACCCTTCGTCAGTACTTCACCAGTGTTGATGTCACTTTTGATAAACTTATTTCGTATTTGTTGACAATTGCTCAGCCTTTGAATATTGACTTTGGGTTGTCACGAACACCCCTGCCTCTTTACTTACTGTCAGTTATTCCACTGCTTACTATGTACCATCTACTTCCCTGCTCCGTGATTAAGCCCGACGCCCGCGATCATCAACTGAGGTGCCCTTGCCATATCCGAATCTTGGTCCCATAGGTATTTTTGATTCTTTACCTACTACTCTTCAAAAAAGTACTCGCTCGTGTGTTACTAGTCATCCTATTGCTCATTTTGTTTCTTATGTACCTTGTCTCCTACCTTCTCTTGTTTATATCTCAACTATCTACTATCACTATTCCTAAGACCTTACAGGGTGTGTTGCCTGATCCGCGGATTGGAGGAAAACTACGGAAGTAGAGATGGATACCGTACATCATAATGGAACTTGGGAGCTTGTTCGTTTATCACCTGGTAAACGAACTGTTGATTGTCGATGGGTGTATACTGTTAAATTTAATCTGGATGGTTCAGTTGAACGCCTCAAAGCTCGTCTTGTTGTTAAGGACTTTACTCAAACCTATGGTGTTAATTACGAGGCTTTTTCTCCGATTGCCAAAATTTCCTCGGTCCGTATTTTAATTTTTTTGACTGTTAATCTTGATTGGTCTTTGTTTCAATTAAATATTAAGAATGTCTTCTTACATGTTGATTTGGTAGAGGAGGTCTACATGGATCAGTCCCCTTAGTTTACTGCTCGGGGAGAGTACTATAAGAGTGTGTGTTGATTAAAGAAATCTCTGATGGTTTGAAATAGTCACTGAGGGCACGGTTTGGTAAGTTTTCAAATTTAGTTTTAAATTTTGATTTTTTTTAATGTCAGACAAACTATTCTGTGTTTTATAAACAAACTGATGTTAGTCATACTCTATTGGTTGATTATGTAGATGATATTGTGATTACTGAAAAATATTCTGAGAGAATTGTCAAGTTAAAAATCTTCTTGTACAACCGATTTCACAGTAAGGACCTAGAAAAACTCGTGTACTTCTTGAGTATTAAGGTTGCGAGATCTAAACAAGATATTTGTTTATCCTAGAGAAAATATGTAATTTACATACTAAAAGAAACAAGTTTACTAAGTGGCAGACCAATTGATATTTCTATAGATTCGAATCAAAAACTATTAATGCATGATCGCGCACTGTTTGAGAATCCAGGTCAGTATCGCAGGTTGGTTGGGTAACTCAATTATCTCACAATTACCCGACCGAATATTTCCTATACAGTTAGTGGAGTAAGTCAGTTTATGGGATGCTCTAGAATACCACATTGGGAGGCAGCCACTTGCATTCTTCAATACCTCTTTAACGTGCTCCTGGCCTTAAGTTTTTGTATTGAACCAATGGACATCTTAAAGTGGAGAGTTTTGCATATGCTGATTGAGCTGACTCTCTTTTTGATCAGAGATCAACCACCGGTTACTTTACTTTTGTGGTAGGTAACGTTGTCTCATGAAAAAGTAAGATTTAGCAAGATTTAGTGTTGAGGTTGAGTATAGAGAAATGACACATACAACTAGTGAGCTGACTTAGTTACTACATTTTCTTTGAGAAATTAGTTTTTCAATTCAGTTTTCTTTACAATTATTTTGTGATAATCAGACAGTTATTCATATCTCTATCAATCCAGTATTTTACGAGATAACCAAACATATAAAAGTTGATTGTCACTTTATTCGAGACAAGCTATTAGCTGGGGATATTACAGCTCTCTTTGGGAGGTCAGAGGATCAACTTGCAGAAGCATTTGTTCCAAACTTGGATTATATGATATATACAGTCTAGCTTGAGAGGGAATGTTAAAAGTATTTGAGTATTATTATGTGTAAATACTAAGTTGTAATAAGTATATCATATAGCGGGTATACTCGTCCTTTGTATGAGTACAAGATAACTATAAATACAAGATGTTTGTCAAACATAGGTTAGGTTTTTGACCACTCTTTGTTTCTCTATGTTTTATGTTAACTCTCTAAATGTAACAGTGGGGACTTCAAACTAATTAAAAGGGGAGGGTGGAGAGGTCACAATATTTCTGAAATTTTGAATTGAGGGTTTTGATTTTTTATTTCTTTCATCTTATGTGATTTTCTTATATTTCGGTGATATACGCTCAGATTTTCTTGAGTTGGTTGCAATGATGTAGCAACAATAAAGAAGACACATCATCCCCTAATATTCATTTTAATGATTTATACAGCAAAAATAAGTGTAAAATAGTGTCCCATTAAAATACCAGCAAGCTGCTTATACTTGATATCATGCACAGGCAAATGGGCAATTATATGCAGACACAAGTAGCGGTTCAGCTTTTGATAACTATCCTGCAAAAGGAATTAAAAAAGAAAAAAAGAGGAATGAAAGAAAGTAAAATAATTGGAATCGCATTAGAAATACCAGACACAATTTTGCTCATCTGATCATGATCACCATACCAGATTTATGAGACCTTGGTCCCTGTACTTTTTTCCCAAGGGTGGATGGAAGCAAAGGTGGGGGTTTTGGTGTTTCGCAGTAAGACTATAACTCTTATAACAAGTTAGTTTTTCGTAAAGGTTGTCAAAAGTAAGACAGCCATAAGAAGTTTCCAAACTTCGGCACAATATGAATCCCAAGTTGACTAATTTTCAAATAGGTCCCACATCAAGTGAAGAAGAGTATAAGTCTATAGATGATGCTTGCAATTGCATAATGTGCCAACTGACAATTTGACACACAGCGGAATAACAACCAAATGTGAATGATGCACGGAACGTAGCCACCAGAAGATATTGCCTCTCCACAATAAGATAGGTTATTGAATTGTATTATCTGGCTTAGGATGGTCATCCCTAGAGGGAATAGTACATTAGCATCAGCGCCGACCATCCTTTTGGCTAAGATCAAGTGTGCATTCGGTCATCTTACATTCAGTCATTTTGATCTCTCTTGAAAACAATGTTGGTCGCCATTCATCCCTTCTTGTCACTCACTCTTAAACTTTCTTCACAATGCAGGCAACACAAAGGTGTGCGAGAGCAACGACCATTCTTTTGGCTAAGATCAAGAGTATAATCGACCATCTTATATCCAGCCATTTTGATCTCTTTTAACTACTATATTTTTCTCCATTCCATCCCTTCATGCCACTCACTCTTAAACTTTCTTCACAAGGCAGCAGGCAACAGAAAGGTATGTGACCAATGAGAGAGAGACGGTAGGGAAACCAATAACAACTTACACAAAAAGAGGCCGCATAGTACACCTTTTAGAGAATCTTTCCAAATAGCTTACTCTTAGAAAAGAGTCCCCCAAGAGGTAACCACAACAAGACTTGAGAATCAGAGATTTATAAGAATTTCAGTTAAGTTCCTAAAGTTATAAAATTGATCTTCAGTTTGGGTCAAAAAAAGAAACTTCAGTCATAACATAATTCAAAACAACTTATAACGGCATTGTCATTTTTCTGCCTCTTGGAAAATGTGTAGCATTCAAGATTAACAGGAAATGCAGATATAGAAGTATTGATAAAAAATTCACTTCCAGACCTCCAGTACCACTATCATAACGTATCATTTCCTAAATCTGGTGTGATGTAAAAAAGAACTACTATGCTTTGATTGGGTGGTATGGATTGGCAAGAAAACAGTAAATAAACACAGAACTAGAGTTAGGACATAGAAACTAAAGAGAAATAGAGCCCGATTGTGATACTAACGAGAAAATTTGAGTGGCTATGAAAAGGAAAGAAGAATGACATTCTCACCATCTCTTTACAATTTCCTCAGGAATCCTCCTAGTGATAGAGTTCAATCACAAAAGATAATTCTTCAAAGTACCAAAAGCCTAAACAAAATTCCCAAAACTGAACTCCATTGAATTGTATGAGTGCATAGCATTTGTAGATTGCTACTAATAACACATACAGATTTTTTAATCAAATTTATAAAACTCTTGCTAACAAAACACATCAAAGCCATTGAAGACAACTTAAGAGGCCAGCTAAAATAAGTTCAACAAACCTATTAAAAAAAGCATCTGTCTTATTGAGATCAAAATGATAAATAAGATTATACAAAAATTATAGGCAGCACACAAAATTGCTACTTGTCCAAAAAAATTTACCTCATTCAGGTGTGTACGCATCGCAACAAGCCCCCAAACAAGAGGAAGTTCCAATTCTATCTCATGGGCTTGAAAGTTTTCAATAGAAGTTGGATGGTAATGCCTGACCTGATAATTTGGATAACACAAACCTTTAGCCGAGCATCTTTCTCCATCATAATTCTAAATGACTCCAAGAAACCCTTGACAAAAAACCCCACACTAAATGTCCATAAGATTCACTGCAATGTTATGTCACTCCAAGAGACCCCCTCCCCCCCGGGGGGTAAAGTTTGAGCTGCCAAATTACATAGACTTCCACAATCTAATCGCTCTACCATGTTCCACTGCATAACACCACCTCCAGCAAATCCAGCCACCCTCTCCCAAAAGCTCTCAAAAGACCCTGTCCATATCTCGTTGACAACTTTGGCTTCACCCCTCCTCCTCTCATAACTAAGTGTGAAAGATCAAAGAGTGTGCATTCAATCCTTTGAGACGTATATAAATTCTATGTTCAGTGTGAGAGAGCACAAAAATCTCATAAAAACCAATCCTTAAGTACTAGTGTTAATCTACAACAGATGGAGGACCATGGATAGGCACATGTATAGCATCAAAACGCTCCACAATTGCTTATAGTAAGTGCCAGTTTGCACCTTTCCGAAATACTACAATCCCACTTACCTAACCATATCAATGCCAATATTATTGAGCTGCAATGGTGCACTGGGGTGGTTCTGGCCCCAAGCATGAAACCTAAGGTGAGACGTGAGACGTGAGATTCATTGAAGTCAAACACATGTTGCGGATACAGGCAAATATTTTAACATTTACAAGTTTTTCAACAGAAGCAAAGTCAGAAGAATTACAAGTCCCTGCTGAATATCCAAAAGTTCAAAATCAAACTTATTAAACGATTACGAAGCAAATAATCATGCACAATCTAGATATCAAACAGCTCAATGATCCAATTCTAATCCAATTGATGATTAAACAGATCAAATAATTAAGTTACAGGATCTAATAAAATTTAATTAAATAGCAACAAAGTAACACATTGATAGTAAAACTGTAGCATACTAAAAAAATAAAAAAGGGACAAGAAATAGCAAAAAAAAAAGATTAAAAAGAAACACTATAAGACATTAAAATAGTAGAAAAGACAAATATTTGGGGGGCGGGGGGTTTTGTTCCATCAACCAAAACATCAAATAAGAAGAAAAAGTCTTCCTCTTTCAGCAGAAAGTCAGACAGAAACTAGAAAGAAGACGATAAAAATACGAATGTTACACTGTATAGGTTGTAGGCAAAAGAAGAACAAGAAGAAGAAGAAGAGCTCTAGTTTGGTGTTATGCATATCAAATATTCCAATCAAATTCAATAGTAGCCTAAATATATCACTGAAGAAAAAAAATTCCACATCTCATGTGCCTAAGTCTAAAGCCCCAGGCATGCACTTAGTCTTAGGCCCATTGTGGCGCTTCAAGTGTGCCCCGCTTTGCCTATGCATGTTTTACACAACACTGCTAACACTAATCAATTAAAATACAAAACCTGGTGGGTGTCCTTTACCCAAAAAAAATTCTAGTGACTTAATACTAACCGTAAAGAAGACATCATCCAATGAATTCTTTAAACGAGATTTAACAAAGTAGAGAAAGAAGGGGCCCAGAAAAGCCTACACAAATCAACATTACGCCAAAATGCCACTACATTGCATTATGAACAAAGTGCTAACACCACATAAAAGAACTAGTAGAAGACAAAGTACACAACCTAATACAAACTTCCTCAATACGGGATATCACTCATTTAGTGATTAAAATTCGCTCCAATAACCTTCATGAAACACACCAAAAATATAGTTTGCACCCATTCTATCCCACTCAAACTGCATCACCAAAAAATAAATTGGATTTTATTTTTCATTCCTTATGATTACAATTATCAAAACCAAATTCAGAAGCAACACTGAGCCTCACCAATTTTTACCATCAATCAAAAAGGTCAGGCCACTAGATTCATGTGTAAGATCAAATATAGAAAGTCATCAAGCAAGCAATCTCCAAATATCCCTGTGGAATATACTACCAAGCTACTTTCCCCATAGATCTCAAAGACAAACTATTTCTAAGATTTCAGACATTGATAGAAAAAATAAGCATTTAGGGACCTTGAAACCACCATGGCCCACCACAACAGCTGCAATTGGGACTTAAAATTGCACAACCAAATTCAGGTCAGACCAAGGATGGGAAAAATAAGTGAAACCACATTGTGTTCCCGAAAGAGCAGGATCTAGCCATTTCCACCCGCCCCACTCCCCACCAATAGGCAACAAAGTACAATTTATGTACAAGAATTTTAGGATTAAAGTGTAAAGAGATATTGCATCACTACATTAATGCCTCTTAAGCATCAAAACCGAGAACTTATCCCCTTCTGTCATTGATTAGCAAACACAAAGTATATAGTTGATTCCTCGAAATAATTATTTAACATAATCTACATAATAATTAAAAATGAAACCTTCTCCCCTTCTTTCATTGATTAGCAAACACAGATTATATAGTTAATTCCTCAAGATCCTTATTTAGTATTGGCATCCCAATTTAGCATTACAGAGTCATTAATAAGCGACTACAAAATTCCCCAATCTGAAGTAATACCACCATCCGATATCTAATTTTCTTACAATGAGATGACAGTTCAAATATCAATTTCTCTAAAACTTCTTACCACGTAATGTCAGTGTATATATTTACCTGAAGCATCCGCCAAGGAGAGCCATGCCACGGCCCATTTTCCGGCACCATGACCGAGAGAACATTCCCCTGAAACCAAGTCATCCTCGACGAATCCTCTGTCTCCGTTGCCATTTTCACTCTCATACCAGCCGCCCAGAACACATTCAAAGCCGTCTCCACCAATTCCGCCTTCACCACGAAGTCTGCCCACCCCGACCTCGGATAACACACCACCTCAAACTCCATTCCCCTGGCAGCCATCTCCGCGGCCTCCACCATCGACTCCGCTGACACCCTCCCCTCCCATTCCTCGAAAACCCGTCTCTACCTTCACTCTCCTCCTCGTCCTTGATTTTTTTCGATCCCAACGGACAATTCCACCTTCCATTACTGTCAGAGTTCGCTCTCACTGCTCGTCTGACTCCACAAAAGAGCTCGTTAATCCTCCGATTTCTCATGAAAACGACGGAATCGCCGGCGATTAGTTTCTTTTGGTTCACGAACTTACTCCAACCGGTGGTGAGCAAGTGCCGCCGGGGTGTCCCTCGGTAGATATGCCGGAACTCCCAAACAACGCCGTGCACGTCCCTCACTAGTATGTTCTGCACCGGAGGGTCCGCCGAGTAATTCAGCGGCGGGAAAATCGAGTCGGCACAAAACCTCGGCACCGAGAACCCTCCGCCATTGTTCGCATCCGACGGCGTCAGAATCTTCGCGAACGACACGATGTCGTTTTCTTGATAATCCTCATCATTTCCGTCAATCGAGTCTCGTTCCTGACCGTTCACGTTAGGGGCACGTGACAAGGGGAGGAGTTTCAGCGAGCAGAACACTTCGTCGGTGTGGGGATTAGCGAGGAATCTGACGGAGAGGACGCGGCAGAGAATGAATGGCTGGGAATGGACGAGAGGAGAGAGAAAAGGAACGGTGGACGATTGCTCGGAGTGGCCTTGGGGGAAGTAGTAAACCCTAGAATTGACAGTTGGGATTTGGACGGAGGTACCGGCACAAGCTCGCCAGATGGTGGGGTCCACATCAGTAGAAGCAGCGGTCGACATTGGACCTAGGGTTCCGATGAGAGTGACGAGTGAGGTAGAGAGTGATATATATGTATAGACGCCGATATAGAACGACAGAGACAGAGAGAGGGAGAGAGTGTGTGGGGTTTAGGGCTCTCAAATGTATGGCGATTGGGTTACATATTTTCTCTTTCTGGTTTTTCGGTGTCTGTTTAAGCTGGGAAACTTGCTGGAGAGAGAGAGAGAGAGAGAGTGCGCGCGACGGCTTGAGGTCGGAGGACGGGCACTGGAGGAAAGCGCAGTATCGGGATGACAAAAATGTCCTCCGTTGTGTAATAGAATCACGCATGCCATTATTTATCATATTTGAGAATTTTATTAAAATCTTATGAGAGCATTTTCAATCATATCAAAATAATTACTTAAAATATATTTAAATATTAAATTTTTTACTTTAACTAATTATTTTTTAAAATTCACTTCAACCACATTCTCTATTTTAATTAATTATTTTAACTAATTTTAACTAACATTCAATAATATAATTTAAAAATGTCACGTGAAGTAACACGTAAACGTCATAATGATTATGTGTCGTGTCACATCATCAAAATATTAAATTTTAAATTTTACAACGATCAGACATTATGCGATGAGTTTGAACCTAAATACTAGTTCTTGCCGAAAGGAATGAGCATCTATAACTAGTGCAGCCGTATGCAAGAGAACCAAGATTTGTATCCAATGACAGAGATCCAGTTCATCATCAATGAACACCAAAATTTGTTCCAACATCAACTGCAGGGTCCAAAAATCTTCTTTTTAATAAGCCACAGAACTTCTCAATTTGACAAATTAAAGGGTCTACCACTCAAAGGATTCTCAATGGTGCAAGGCAATATAAAGAATTGTTTGCTTCCTATCTGCTGAAAATATGATCAACCATAGCATCACTTACAAAATGATGAGGGTAACAGCAGGTTTACCTTTTTTTCACAAAAATGATTGCAAAATCTTCCATATTGTGGCCCTAATTATGAATCAAACAAGTCCCAATTTTTTCACCGTGATTGTTATACTACTACTAAAAAGTTATTAGTCTATGAATAAGAAAGAACTACATTTTCTTTGCCATAATTTCTATCTGAAGGTATTTAAAATATTCAGCTTGAATCGGAGACATGACACTCGTATCCATCAATATTATTTTATGTTCCTCCTTCATTTGCTTGAGTTATACCTTCTCTTGTTTAACAGCCAAAATTTTTTCCATGAATTTGACTTTCTTCTCCGCCATCATCTTTTTCTCCTCCTTCATTTCTTCAAACAGTTTCACGAAATATGTTGAACTTGAATTATCCCCTTCAGAGAGTTTGCTCTTTGACTTTCTTACTCGCTTTTTCGTAGTCTTCCTTTCAGTTGGCCTTTCTAAGCCCCCACTGTCGTCTCCTACGTTTACCAATTCTAGTGTTGAAGGATTAGAGTTGCTAGGAGTTGCGCTACCTTTTATTTTTTGCTTCTTAGACTGAAAATCCTCCATCCATTTTGGTTGATACTGTAACTCATTCAAACAATGTTTAAATGGAAAAGAGGATTTATGAAGTTCCTTATATACCTTTGCATCATGGACTTGAAAATTGTACAATAATACTATGTATCATAAAAGAAAAATGCTCTATTTTCACACTTGTAATTAAATTACACTCATACCTTGTCTTTCTCAGTCAGACCACTTTGATTTAACCTTTCAATTTGGGTCAAAACGGCCACAAATTTTATTGGTGGCTAGTTGAATTGTCGACCAACGATTCATCAAAGAAACCAGATTGCGATTACAATCTAACTGGGGTTTGTATTTGTGTATTTGTTGAAGTACTCTCAAACCCTTCGCCAACACGTTTTAGATTTTTGCTCATTTCCATGCACGGCATCCACGCTAATGTTAAGCCAACCCAAGATTAAAACTAAGTCATCCTCAATTGTAAAGTTGTCGTCTCGAATCTTTTTGGTGGTGGATTCTATTTGAGGTGATATTTGGTCTATTGATTGAGTGTTAAACTCACCTAAATTTGCTTCATCATTCAAGAGATAGAGTAATATCCATGTTCAAATGGTTCCATACTGTAGTTTAGGGAGCAAAATAGTAGGAAGTGGAAGCAAAATTAGGGTCATTACTCATTTCAGGTATTCTTAATTCAATGTAAGTAGATAAAGAATTATGAATGACAAAGCTTATATGATGAGGAAAAATGCTAACAACACCCATGAATTGTGAAGAAAGAAATGTGTACTTGCATGAGATTTCCTACCAAAGAAATTAATGCCTCAGATTATAGAGATCAAACTAGTTAATGCCTTATTTGTGTTTTGATAATATTTCTTGTGAAAGGTTAGTTTTCAAGTTCTACGACATCCAGTCATTTAAAATGTGCCCTTTAACACCTATTTACAAATATCCAAACAAGCAAAATCTCTCGATACACCCTGGGACGCAAAGTGAACTTAGCAACTCCAATGAAACTTGTGAAATTCCAGCTTAACATATCCACTTGTTTCAAGCAGTATAACATCAAAAAAGCAGTATATTCATCTATATAGAATTGGAATAAATAAATCATGAGATTATGTAGATTAAGCAATAATATGGCTACCAAACAAAATTGCCAAAAAAATTGCTTCCATGAGAGTAACGATATAATTGATCTTATTCTAATTTCAGATGATAGCTCACTGCCCATACAACTTCATGTTTGGAAAATAATTTCATAACACAACCATATAATTTACTTCCATACACCCAAAATTCCTATAAGAAAGCAGATGAATTAATAGGCAAAGCAATGATCAAGTAGTCTATAGATAATATAAGAACAAAAGAACTACAAAAAAGTTGGACTAAAAGGTGCACCAAAATCCACCCAATATAACATGCTAAAGGTAATATAATGGAGGTATCAAAGAGGAAAAGAGAACTTTCCCAAATGCTAAAGAAATTTACGGGCCAATGTTGCACATCTCAATACTGAGACTCTATGTAGTTGGAGCAACCCACAGATTTAGTGTTTCACCATTAATAAAGAAAAGGGTTATACATGGACCTATGTTGCAACTCTATCAATTACACTTTGAAAATCGTGGTTTGCAAACGATTTTTCACCCATTTTAGCTTCACATTGACCAGACCCTTTGTTTGAGATCTCTACAACTTAGTTCATTTCAACAAGAACAAGAACATTGCCATATATTCTGGCATCAACTAATAACACAGACAAATTCTATTTTGAGGTCTAGTAGTTCATAAATAGCAATACACACATCACATACTACTAAAAAATCAAAACCAATCACAACCCTGTTTTACTCCAAAAATAATCATCAAGTATGTAAATAAGTCCCTATCAAGCTCAACAATATGAACAAAGCTAATTAAGGTCAGCTTGGATAAATTGATCATCATAAGTGTCAAGGGATATAGGTACTTATAGTGTGGTTTTCTATTAAGACAAGTTTTATTTAATTTTTTATTATATGGGACAATTGATTTCACAGGATGAGTTGGGAAAGAAAAATTACCAAAAAGCTGTGAAATTGAAGAAGGTTTTAGTAGTGGCCATAGCAGCAATTGAACCAGTTGCAAACAAACACTATGACATCCGAAGAATAAACCCGGTCACTGTCCCAGGGGTCCTAGCAAAATCTTTCATCTTTCTCTTTCCAGAACAAAGAAAATTTAAAATTCTTAATATGACACCCCAAAATCCGGGGGTTCGTTGATTACCTATCAACCTGCGGAAAACCCGTGAATACCAAGTAGCTCAATATCACACCGTTATGCCCTATATATCGAGGTCCTTAATTTAACAAAATTCGGGCAGAGTCTCCTTTGTATGGGGAGCTCTACCCAAAACACAACCTATGCAATATATATTAACATGACCCGTCTAAGACCCCATATAACACAATGACCACACAGGGTCCATTTATAAGTAAAACTTGACCACACCGGGTCCAATCATCCATATAAGTTCTATTACAATTTAAAAGATGACATACTTAAAATATTCTTTCCACAAATATTATACATCAACACAAAATAAAGCCACATTCGGCTTTCTTCAAACATGTGGGTCCAAATTTGAGTCATCCACCAGTGTACCTCTTCCACCGGAAATGTTTCTCATATAAGGTGAGCCAACGCTCAGTAGAAAAACTCCTACAGAGGATACTTCCCACCTAAAATGTGTATGCAATGTGCGCATGCCACAGACAACTTCTTCTAAATAAGAATATGTTATTCAAGATAGAATCTCATGATGTCATGCCAAGTAATGAGATGAAACTCACTCATGCATGCTATCCCGAGTTCACACCGACTCCCACAACACAATGCGACTCATATGTATAAAACAAACGTCTTTGATGAAACACATCCAAAGATCATTTTGAAATAAACCATATGTCATAAAACCAATTCATTCTTAGATGCTTCCCATCAAATGAATAATTTATATATCAAAATCATGTTCCCTTATGGGGTATCGAATTCAGGAATCGCACCTTCGGCTCCGTACGCCGTTACACTTTTCTGAAATTTCACCGCCGGTAAGTGTATGAACCAAGTAGCCGGGTTTTTCACCCGAGGGAGTGTCTAGCCCTACTTGCTATACCCGGCACAAGTTTTCTTATGCATGTAACCGTGCGACTCTGTAGGACATTTCATCCCACTTTTCCGAGCCTACCATCAAACACCAATGTTGGTGTTGATCACCCCATGCAACCACACATCCACACTCATGCATGTAGCCCTTGAATGTGATGCTATGTCATGCCCAATGTGCAATGTTGCCCAATGAGCTAGATCAACTACATATATAGACAATCCCATGGTAATTCATATCATAAACATATAAATTTCATGAATCATTACAATGTCAATATATATAAACAATACATTCTATAAGCATGTTATACATTTTCATGTCATAACAACCTTAATTCACACTTAGGCATTTTAGCAAACACCTTCTAGGCAACAATCA